AAGGCCGCCCCGCGCTGGGGGGTTTCCTGGCCCGGGGGCTGAGCCTGCCCGGCACCCCCCGCGCCGCGCCGCGCCGCACTCGGGCCTCCGCTGCTCTTGCTCTTCTGTCTCGCTTGCTGACCCCTGACGGCACGGCCTGGCCTGGCCGCAGAAAGAGCCACTTCCGAGAAATGCCCTTGTGTTATCCCGGCGTCCAGGGCTTTTAGTTTGAATAGTTGGCGCCGGGCCTGGGCGCTGTCCTGTAGCGCTGAGCACTGCGTGTTCACGTGTGCTTGCCAGCGGTGCCTGGTGCTGGGTACCAGTTTCCTCCTTCCCGGTCAGTTCGCAATCATCTTTGTGTTATTGAGGGACTGGGTGTTCTTGACTTTTCTCTGGAGGATTCATTATTTTATTTTACTTTGACTTCTCTGTCCCTAACTTTTTAAGGGCAGGTGCTGAGACTTGATGGCTGGCATTAGCGGTGCACCGACAGGCTTTCTTGGCCAATACCAATAGCTGATGCTGATCCGCCAACTGATATTTAGAAATGGTGCACGGCATCTTAAACTACTGACATAAGCCTTTAATTGTTTGTTTTGTGTTTATAATACACACGTGCATGCCTCCTGTCTGCTCCAGCCCTTGGTGAGGAAGACACCCACAAACGCTGCTGTCTCGCTCACTCACGGCTCCTACACTCAGCTGCACTCCCTGCAGTGCTGCTGTCCCTGGCAGGCAGGGCCGACCCTCGTGTGGACAGCGGTGCTGGGTGTCTTTGGAGCCCCAGAGCACATGGCTGCCTCACCACCACCAGTGGGCCCGGTATAGCCCAGCTCCCACGGCCACCAGGGAGAAGCCACTTTTGCAAAGGCACCTGGTGCCCGGAGGAGCAAAGTGTCCCTTGCATATAGTGCCTTACCCCACCCGTGCGCAGTCCAACATATCCGTTGCTGCCCCAGCGCTCAGGCCCCTGCTGTGTGCGCAGCAGGACCCAGGAACTGTCCTTTTGGTCACTTTGTTGCTGAGCGTGGGGCCCTATGACTGCCACCTGACATCCCTTCCCCCTCCCACTGCTTGCTGTGGTGGCCTCTGGCTGGTGGTGGGGCACAGGGACAGGAGTATGCTTGTCAGGGTGCTCTGGGCTTGTGGCCATAAATATCAGCTACAATGACCAAAAAAAGCCAATAGCCGATAACATCACTCCACCTTTTATTGGTGCCAACCCAACAGCTAACCGATCTATTGGCGCACCTCTAGTTGCCATGAATAGCAGGTATGTTAGGAGTAGGATGTAGCGATCTGGAGCAGGAGTTTCAGAGGGTGAATGGTACGGCGAAGTACACTTGTTTAGATTGTTCTGTTGGGTCACTGGTAGGTTCGCGTTGAATTCATGGATGACACCAGCCGATCCATTATCCGGAACGTGAAAGGACCCGTCCGCGAGGGGGATGTCCTAACGCTGCTGGAATCTGAACGTGAAGCAAGGAGGTTGCGTTGATCAGCCTGGTAACTCATTTATTTCACTTTCAGGTTTTAAAGGGATCTTTTTGCATGATGATCTTCATTTGACTGTCTTAAGCACAGAGCTGGGGGATCTGCCTGGACTATAGAGCAGTGATTCTTAACCAGGATGCTGTGACATCTTGGGGTGCCATGAGATCCTTTTAAAGCCGTGGTTCTCAACCTTTTTTGTACCAGGACCCATTTGTCAATATTGATGGCCAGTCCCAAACCTATTCCCCCCAGTGTGTGGGGTATGGGGGGGCCCTGAGCAGCCCCTTGCAGGTTGGAACTCTTGACAGTCTGCAAGGGAAAAGCCTGGGTTTCCCACACTTTTTTCTTTAAGGGAGAATCCTTTTTTTTAAGTTTGTTCATATATTCTGATGACCCACTTTTTTGGATTGTGTCCCATAGGTTGAGGTCCCTAAACACAGTGCTTTAAAGGATGCCTCAAGGTGTGAGGACATGAGCAGATAAGCATAGGTTTAGGCTTGTCCCTGTCTGGATGATCGCCGCCTCTTATTGCTTCGTCCCCTCTGCAAGGAAATAAGCACTGTAGTGCATACATTTTATTTTCTGAAATTGTGCGCGCCACTCAGTTCACAAAAGTCCACGGAGGGGTTCCTTGAGACCCTCTGATTTAGAGTGATCTGGGGTTATGTTGAAGGTTAGGGACCTTAACTCTGAATCTGAGTCTTATATAGAAAAGCAAGTCTAGAATGTAAGGTTTGACATCTAGGCATTGGCAATTTGGATGACTGTTCACATAGAATTATTTTTGGTAAACTAGCTATTCCTGCATCAGAAAATAAGATTTTAATATTGCCATGACTTTTTCAATGGGCTGACCTACATTACAAATATTTCTTATTTGGGCTTAGTAGAAAAGAATTAAATTAGCAGTCATGATAATGACCATGACTCTTTTTCAGAGTATACCAAGTGAAAAGCTTGGTTTAGTTTGGAAAAGTTTGCATTTAACTTTCTTAACTGCTGTTTAAACACAGTAATATTGTCTAGTGAGTGAATTTGATGTTTCCTCTGCATGACTGAACACAATGGTCTAGTTTTGTTCTACACATCTTGCCTAGAGATGCTCTGCAGTCTTTCACTGCTATTTTCAAGGTAATAGTTTGGGAAACAACACAGGTTTTGATTTCAAATCCAGTCACATCAAGCATTCAATCCAAGCTGAAATATGGGCCCAAAGCCATAGTAACTTACATAGTACGCAGATGTCTTTGGACTGACTCTTCTAGAAATAACCTTATCTATGTAAAATAGTCTAGTCTTGGGAGGCAGGCCCTGACCTCTGCTGGTGAGATGGGGGGCCAGTGGGTGGAAGCAGTCCAGCCCACCCAGGGGGTGTGGGACCAAGCTCCATTTCCCCAGTGCTGCCAGGTAGACTGGGCAGAAGCAGCACTGCCTCCCTGCCCACCCAGCACTGAACGGTGTCCAGCAGAGGCTGGGGCATGTGTGGCCTACCCAGGACCTGCCTCATGGTGCCAGGTTGGGGAAGGGGCTGCTTCTGCCCCGTGTCCCCCACAGTACCTGGCAGATGCAGTCCAGCCATGCAGACCCTGGGCTCCTGTTGCTGCTCATGTGCCAGCTCTGGCCTGTGGGGTGGGGGGTGTCAACAACTTGCCAAAACTCATTAAGTGGCCCTCCAGCCCAAATAACTGCCCACTCCTGGTTTAGGCAGTTAACACTTCTGAAAATGGCTCAGAATATTTCCATTGATAAGATGCAGCTCATCTTTACTTGCATAAGTGGTCCTGAAGTTTGAGGCTCCACTAGAAACCTATGATGGTTATGGGCAGATAGGTAAGGTGCTAATTCCTACTAGTTACACTGCAGAAGCTGCAGCGTCACCAATAGCACTGTCAAGCTTTGTCTCTCACTAGGTAGGAATAAAATGACATGTTTTAGTTGCTTTTCTAGTATTTCATTGCCTTGGAAATGGTTTCCTGATGATTATATGAGATGAACTAAAATATGCACGATTTCTTTCAGATGACTAATCCTGGTGTATCTACCTTTCATTCTACACGGCTGTAATGAAGTAGCAGTGAACATCTGTGCTGCCAGACGTGCACGAAGAGGGGAACTGCATTTCAGTGACTAAAATAAAGGATTTTTTTTCCAGTACCACATTGCCTCTTTCATGTAAGATGAGATGCATGTACTTATCCTGGCAAATGGAGCCAGCAGAGTTCCAGGGAGAGAGAACTATTAAGTTCCTTTGATTTAAAAGTTGTTAAAACTGCTTGTAGCTGAAAGATTTTTGTATCATTCTGCAAGTAAGTGCTCGCCTGTACTTCAGAGAGCTGAAAAGTATTTGGTACATCTTAGGTCCTGGAGAGACAAATGAGAACATGCAAGAAGTGGTTGCACTTGGTGGATCATATTGTAGGTCTGTCATACCCGGGATCCTGTGTCATCGACAGTGGTAGAATGACAAGGATATGACCTTTCCCACTTGCAGCCTCCAGCATTTGGGGTCTAGGAAGTTCTGATTCAGAAGCTGTACCCCTAACTCCTATGTTCAATGGCTACTGATGCACCTTTTCTCTAAGAATTTGTCTGATTCCTCTTTGAATCTGGCTAAACTGCCCCCTAACTTGCGTCAGTTTTTTCGTATAACAATGTACATTACACTGCAATTGGGAATGGAGAGATGAATGGCTAGCCTAGGATTGCTTGCATACTATGTATATGTTGCTCTGTCCTACTGGGGAGGGTGGAGCATTTGCCTGTTGCAGCTGGCTACTTTAGGATAGATGTGGACAGAAGGAACTTTATTGTACTGTACAACATGCTTTTGTATAATGTGCCCATATTTTTTGCCTGAGTCCCATTCCCATACTACGCCCAAAGGTAATTATGCTTGTATAAACATTTCGTCTCCCCATGGGCCGTAGTGTTGTCTTGAACGCAAGGTAGTGAAGCCAGGACCCATAACTGATGTGTGAAAGTCCTATGCTTGAAGGACAGGCTCTTCATTCTCATAAATAAATTAGGAGGCTGAGACACAGATATTTACATAGTCTCGTGGGTGGAAAATTGGCTTAGCAGTTGCATCAAGAGTGTAGAGGTAGATGGGTTGGTATCTGCTTCGAAGAATGTGGGTAGTAGGGTCCCATAGGGTTTAGTCCTTGGACCTGTACTCTTCAATATCTTCATCAGTGACTTG